AAAGTTTGATGATGATGGATCCGGTTACAAAGATCTAAAAAACTCTAGGGTCGTGTCCACACGAACACAGCTTCCCAAAAATAATCTTTATATTTATTATTTCTGCACATTTCCTTGTTAACAACATGGTTTCTACAAATGTCTTTGTACTATCATATATTATTACTCAAATATATAACAAAACAAAACAATTGGGACTTGCCACCTGGGCTACTTTGATTCTCCAACTGGGGGCAGCAGAAGGCATGTGTCGTGTTTGCAGGTTTCTGAGGAAAGTGCTAATCCTGTTAAAGAGGTAGAACAGCCTTACACAGTTAGATGTGCATTTATCAAATATAATCCAGATTTATTTACAGTGGGTGCATAAATTATTGCAGTTATTTTCTAAAATCAATTAAATTCATATTTTCCTCAGTAATGTACCCACAGCACCTCATATTGACAGAAAAACACAGAATTTAAAAAAATTCTGCTGATTTATTAATTAAGAAAAACTGAATTATCACATGTTTCTAAGTATACTCTCTAAGTATATATATATATATATATATATATATATATATATATATATATATATATATATTTACACATATATACACACACACACTATGTATATATATATATATACACATATATACACACACACATTATATATATATATATATATATATATATATATATATATATATATATATATTATAAATTATATTTGTAAGTATTCAGACCCTTTGCTCAGTATTTAGTAGAAGCACCCTTTTGAGCTAATACAGCTGTGAGTCTTCTTTGTACAGTTTCTAACACCTGGATGTGGGGATCCTCTGCCATTCCTCCTTGCATATCCGCTCCAGTTCTGTCAGGCTGGTTGGTTAACGTTGGTGGACGGCCATTTTTAGGTCTCTCCAGAGATGCTCAATTTGGTTTAAATCTGGGCTCTGGATGGGCCATCCATGAACAGTCACAGGGTTGCTGTGAAGCAACTCCTTCATTATTTTAGCTGCTTAAGGTCATTGTCATGTTGGAAGGTAAACCTTCATCCCAGACTGAGGTTCTGAGCACTCTGGAGAAGGTTCTTGTTCAGGATAACCAGACAGACAATCTTATTTCTCACCATCTCAGCGTCCTTTCGGGCTTTCGTGTATCTTGCACTGAGGAGAAGTTTCCAACGGGACACTCTGCTATAAAGCCCTGACTGGTGGAGGTCTGCAGGGATGGTTAACTTTCTATAACTTTCTCCATCTCCTGACTGCATCTGGAGCTCAGCAACAATGATCTTCAGGTTCTTCTTTACGTCTCTCACCAAGGCTCTTCTCCCCTGGTAGCTCAGTTGGGCCGGACGGCCTGCTGTAGGCAGAGTTCTGGTCGTCCCAAACATCTTCTATTTAAGGATCATGGAGGCCACTGTGCTCTTAGGAACCGGAAGTGCAGATGAGATGATTTTTGTAACCTTGGTCAGATCTGTGCCTTGCCACAGTTCCTTTGACCTCATGGTTCTCATTTGCTGTGACATGCATTGTTAGCTGTAAGGTCTTATGTAGACAGGTGTGGCTCCCTAATCAGGTCCAATCAGTATAATCAAACACTAATGGACGCCAGTGAAGGTGTAGGACCATCTCAAGGATGATCAGAAGAAACGGATAGTACCCGAGTTAAATCTGAGTGTCACAGCAGTGGGTCTGAATACTTTGGATCATGTGATATTTCACTTTGTCTTTTTTAATAAATCTGCAGAAATGTCTGAAATTCTGTTTTTCTGTAAACACGGGGTGCTGGGTGCGCATTAATGAGGAAAAATTAATTGATTTTAGCAATATGAAGATTTTATCTGCAATATAACAAATAGTGAAACATTAACAGGGGTCTGAATACTTTCTGTACTCACTGTAAATGAGTCAGATGCTTTAATGGTATTTTTCTGCAATAACTGGAGTTGTATTTTCTCAAATTGACTGCAAAGTGCGAGTTCAGTTCAGTCTCTGAATTCGAACTTTTTTTTGCACATGTGCAACGTAAAATCTGAAAAAGGCATTTATTCACCCACGGTCTAAAAGAGGCAACAGGATGTGCTTTTATTTATCCGGTTCTGGGTTTTCTCTGCTACGCAGCAACATCGTTGAAGATTAGCCCCCTGAACTGTGTAGGTTGTTTTAGTCCAATAATTTGCATGAAATTTGCAGCTCCGGGTCTGTGATCTAATGCAGGCTGTCAAACTAAAAACACTATTAAATAAGTGTAGGCTACTCATTCACACTAAGAGTTAAATGATAAGACTCTCAGACCTGCAGTATAACACCAACTGTCAGGGTTAACCGTAAGCCTTTTTCTTTAATTTTGTTTTGATTATTAATAGGAAATCAAACCATCTACATAACCTGTAAAACAGTCAATGATTCATGTCCATGGCTGTGTCCACATGACCAGGGGTGGTCCTAGCCTGTTTGGTGCCCTGGGAAAATACCCGCTCATATGTCTTCCCCCACAACAATATCATGTTTCTGCAAGAATGACCAGGTAATATGAAATTAACATCATTGTAAAAGTGTATACATTTGCATAAACTGTTGTGATTTAAGTTAAAACAAACTCCATCCACTTTGGCCTTGATCCTGGCCAGACTAGCCATTAGCCTATCAATCCGATCGGAACAAATTTCACCAAACTGACTGAGATTAGGTGCTTTCTGTAACACATTACATCTTCAATGTTTATAAAAGTTCAACAAAGCCCCTCTTTCAAATATCTTGATCCATCACTTTAAAGTCTTCGGCCTCAATTATCAAAATAATGTGTCAACAAGCTTTTAACAACTGGGGTCATTAATCAATCCATTGATCAAATATAATTTTCAATTTTAACGTAGGCTCCAAATAAGTCTAAAAACAATGCAACTGACTAATTGTTACTAAAATGTGTTTTGTCACATTCCACCCAAATGATGCACAGCCCCGCCCCTTCATAGGTTAAAGTCAGGTTGTGGTTTTAAAAGTCAGAGCAAGTAATGATGGAGCGATGACTCCCACTTGTTCAGCGTCCAACATATCTTTTCCAACGATTTCCACTTCCAGCAATACTTTATGCCCATTTGGACACTCAGGCTTCCGTAGCAGCTTTTCTCTACTTTTAGGCAACCAACTGATCAAATAGAAAATGATTTGGGGATTATTTTGTGTCTACATGTTACAGAAATATTAACATTTATTCTGTTAAAAAGCACCGACTTTAGGCTTTTAGAAAGTAGTCCATGTGGATTCTAGAGAAATAAAAGTGATTTGGGTTTTATAAGAAATGCTCTCATAAGTTTTATTCACCACTAAACATCGAGAGTCCTCCACCTGTCCGCTGTTTCCTTCAAATGTGAACTCTGGACAGTGACTCCCAACAGGTTGAGGAATAGTGTTTTACACACACACACACACACACACACACACACACACACACACACACACACACACACACACACACACACACACACACACTCTCTCTCTCTCTCTCTCTCTCTCTCTCTCCTCTCTCTCTCTCTCTCTCTCTCTCTCTCTCTCTCTCTCTCTCTCTCTCTCTCTCTCTCTCTCTCTCTCTCTCTCTCTCTCTCTCTCTCTCTCTCTCTCTCTCTTTGGTAAAACATTTGAACAACTGGTAACATCTGCTAAAACACTATAAATGCTGCATGTTTTGACCCATTAACACGTTTTCAAAACAAAACTATCCAACAATCTCTGGATAAATGTAGTAATGTGACAAAACCAGAAAGTCCCTGTTATGGTGCCAGCCCTGAGAGAACTCATTATGCATTCTCAGCTTATTAACACTGGCTTGTTAACTCAGTCAGATATTTCCAAACTGGTGTTTTATGTCTTTAAAAACCACACACGTGTGCACAAATGAATGTGAGCCAGTGGCTGATGGATGAACGGTTGGTTAGTCCAGGCATTGATTTCAGTTTAATCGATAGATGGTGGAGGAAAGCAGGGCCAGCGGAGGTTTAATCCGTTTCAGTTTGAGTCCAAATTCTGTTTAAAAACAAAACTCGCCGTTAGATGGACTAAATAATCTGGATAATTGAAATCACGAGCGCTCATTCAAACTGGAAACGGGGACGCGTCTCGGTGAGGCTAAAGTAACAGGGAGGTAATGTGGATCCGTGCGCGTGAATCACAGGAGCAGTCCTCAATGAGTTTCCGTCACTGACGTCAGTGCATGCGCAGGTGCCAGGTAACAGCTCTTTACCGGAGGTGGGAGAAGCATTGTCCTGGTTCGCTGCATGGCCGTGAATCATTTGTTCCTGAGCGGCTGACTAGCACCCATCAGATTCATGCAGGCGACGCAAACGCAACTCGAGCCTCCTCGCGGACTTCACGGCTTCTCCGATCGACTGACGCGCGCGACATGCACGCACGGAGAGGAGGTTAGAACGCCTGGTGGCAAATAATTGGATTTGAGGCTCCGTCCTTTGTCCAGAACCTGCTGCGTCCTCTTCCCTCTAATGAAGCTGCGCAAACAAAAAGTTAAGAGGAAGGGAGAAAAAAATCACTGAGACTTGGAATTACTCGCATCCAAACGAAGCACCTGGACCTGTGGGGGTGCAGCGTGGAGACCGTAAAATCACCGGATTAGCGCGTCAGAATATACCTGGCAACTTTCAAATGATGTCCAGCTCAGGAAAATCAGATCTCCTCCTTTACGCACCAGTAACGCGAACCTTTACGCTTTATGGAATAAAAGTTGTAGAACAGCTTTTGCTAAAATAAAGTGTGATTGCGTCAGCATCAGTCTGCAAACGACGTTTCCTAATAAAAGAGCTAAAGTAGAGGTTTTGGTGAGGACAGAAGCAGAAGCCAGTAGTCTAAACACGCACCCTGCTGCAACTTCATCCTAATGAGACATCCCAACTTTCAACAGACTTCCACAAACTAAAAAACCCTCCACCAGCAGCAGCTCCATCCACTCCCTACTCCTTCTCCACTTCCATTTATCTGCAAACACGGGCCCGTTTTATTCACACCTACCGAAGCAGATCCGAGCAGAGGGGAGGGATCCACAGTCCGAGCGGTCCGTCTCCTCAGCCTGCCGAGCCGAGCGGTGGCAAAAACAAGACAGAGGCAGAGGAGGAAGGAAGAAGGGGAAAAGCTCCTTTTCCAAAAAACACAATCCTGCGGAGTTCCCGTCTGTTAGTGACAAATGTTAAAAGAAAGGAAACGCGGATTTAGTGGCTGTTGTCTTGGATAAGCGTACTTTCTCAGAGGCAGAACGCGTGGGTTCCCCGAGCTTTCTCGGTCCTAGCAATCCCACCTCTACATCCCCGCTTGCAGAGAGGAACATGCAAACACATTTCATAGATTTTTGGAGCTTGGTGGAAAAACTGAAGTGGATTATTGTGCGAGCGGCGCGCTCCGGGGTTCGAGGCAGTTTCAGAATAAAAGCGTGGAGGATAAAACGTTGCCCTTCTATAAAGCTGATGTGTTTAACCTTTACTTGATAATATATTTTATATTAACCAAGTTGGGTTGAACACTGGTGTATATGTTCACCACAAATAACTGTTTGGGTGAGCGTCGGTGCTCATGCGTAAATGTGGACGTTTGGGTGTTTTTGGAGGATAGATGTTGTAGAGAAAAGTAAATCCAGGTGAGCAAACTTTCCTCCTGGTTAAGAAATACAAGGCAGTGGTGAAAAAACTGAACCTCAGCTGTAAGTCCGCCTCCTGTCATCCGCTCCGCGTTTTCTCACCTTCCTGTCTGCTGGCAGGCGGCCAACCCAAGTGTGTGGAAATGACACCGCCAGGGCGGCAGAGATTTTCCTTCATTTCTCTCCTTCCCGATCGCAGACTGGCTGACATTGGCTAGAAAGTGGAGCAGCTCGTCAGGGACAATCAATGCGAATCGATCGAGCTGTGCGGTTGAGGCTCCAGAGCTGGAAAATATCGCGGTAGCTGAGAGAGAGAGAGAGAGAGACAGGGGGAATGGAGGAGGAGCAGGGTGTTCATAACTGTCCGTATAGGCAACCAAGCTCTCAGCAAATAAATAAATGCGCTCCAGTTCTCATAAACATGACACTCACTTCGTAAACATTGGAGTGAGAAAGCCACGTGCGTAATTACGCACGGGATTTGAGCTCTTAGCGCACTGAACGTAAAGGTTATTTCGAGTTTATGAAGTAAGATAATATAATGAAAAATGTTCAGTGGCTCACCATCATTAGGGTTTAGTGTAACCCTAAGCATTAACGTTAAATCAACGGGATAAAGGCAGCTGGTTCCAAATTATGACCCTTTGGATGTTTTTACTATTATTATAAATAAGTCTTCATGGAAATCTGCGGTAAATAACTAATTAGGAGCAAGTGTTTAGACTGCATCAATAAGAAAGAGACTGAGAATTTAAAGTTGTTGGTTTTACATTTAATGTGCTACTGTGATCATCTTCCCAACCAAGTTGGCTCACATCTTCAAACGTATCCAGTCAATGAGGGAATCCAAAACATGTAAAGAATTAAAATATCAGCTGACATATAAACCAAGTCCTGGTTTTACTCAGTCCTAATGCTTGTCTCTTTTGCACTTTTTTTCTTCCTAGTATAAAATAAAATTAAACAGCTGGGTTTTTAATGGCACTCTGAATGACCTCCCATTTTTGACTAAATCTCAGGACTGTTCCATTGCGTTTGCGTTCTTGTTGTGTGTTGAAAAGAGGGTCAAAGAGGGACAACTGGAAAGAGGAGAGTCACGCATGGATAGATGGGTTGGAGGGAGCAGCAAGCTGTGACTCTTGGACATGTTCTGGTGGGTGCACTGAACCCCGGAGGCTGCAGCCACACTCAGCTCTTTGTTGTTTTCGTTCTGCACAGGGAGGCAGGGTACTTTCCTGAGCTGGGGAGGATGATTAGCGTTGCATATCCTCCATCCCCAGCTGCACACATGACCAGCATGGGAGGAAAGCCCCTCATGATGGCCCAAAAAGAGGCACATATGAGCTCAAGAGAGCAAAGCAAGACAAGAATAACCCAGCAGTGTCCAGTGTTGGTCTGAACCTACTATTGTAACTATACTGTAACACATTTAGAAATAAAGTGTCTAATTATGGATGGCTAGCCAGTCATTCTCCTGGTAACTCACAGAACTTCCTAATTTCTGCTGTTTCAACGGCCTTCAGGCCATCTGATCAGTTTAGCAGCATTAAATGTACAGCTGGAAATCTCAAGCCGTGTGATCCTAAACACATCTCATGTGGCTGATCCTGAATCACTTCCTGTGAACCCAGATCCCAACTTATTAAAGTGGTGTTCTAGTAGACTCATCAACTTACTAGAGTCACCTTTTGACTAATTAAACAGGTGACCCCTCTCAAGCTCACTAAAGCTGAAACACAAAATAATAAATTGAGGCACAATCTTCTTTTATAATCAAAGTTAAACAATATCTCTTTTTTTTGTATTTAAAGGTGCAGTATGTAAGAATTTTACAGTGAGAAAATCCCAAGAGTCTAATGTTTCAGTGATTTTTGAAGGAAGGTTGTACTGAAATGCATTTCATACCCAGCTGTGGAGATTCAGTTTTTCTCCTTTCAAAACAAAGAAAGGAGGGACAACTACTGTTTACCATCAGTGAGTGTGGGGGTGCCGTGTCTCCTGCCAGCTAATACTGCAGCGCCGACATTTGTAATTTGACGATGGCCGACAAAAAGTTTCAGAGTTGTTTAAAGTGGGTGCAGTAACCAAATTTTACCACATAGTCATTTTTACTTCATTTCTACATAATGCGCCTGAAAAATGTGTAGTTTTTAATGTTCATCTCCGGAAATATCCATCAAAATGTAGTTCAAAAAGAATGAAATGATGCCCAGTTGTTGAAAAATATTGGCGGTTTTTTAACATATAACCATGAAAATCAGGTCTTAAATACATGGAAGCGGGTCTAAGTCTGTGTGACGCCATATTAGACGCCATGTTTCCTTCTACGGGAGCCCGTGAGGACAAAATGCATTTACTGATTTATAACAAGCGGTTACCATTACAATTACAAACATTCACCATTTATAAATGTTGTTTCACACATTTACATCTTCGCTTGTTGCCAGTGATGAAAGGGAGTCTGATGTGCTCGTTATTTTGCTGGTGTCTTCCTTCCAACGTGACTCAGACAGACGGTTTTGTGATTATTTTACTGTAAAATCCTCACCTATTAGACTTTTTAAATACTGTAATTTTGGAAATAAGATCCACCCTCCGCCACTCATTTGTTTTGTGGCTGTTGCTAGTTACGGATCAGCACCAGGAGGTTCTAGATGATGGGCGAAGACGAGTCATACACAGTAAGTTGATAGGTAGATAATAAGTGTCTGTAATATTGAGTTGTTGGTTTCTGAAAGAGTAGCTTGAGATGTTTTTACAGGCGACTATAGAATTCACCATTGACATTGCTAGCTCAGCGTTAGCCTCTACGCTTCTTTACCCGATATTAGAGTAGACCAAAATGTCCCTGTGGTTTATTGAAGTTTGCAACCTCACATTTGATTGGCTCTAGAACAAGGAAGTAAAGAAGCAGGGTAAATTGTCAACAATGGCCACCTCTTAATACCAAAGTAAGATGTGCGTTCTTGGTAATTACTTAGCTTATAATTGTGATTAAATTTGTAGTAAATAACTTGAACATTTAGCTTACATTTTATAAAGCTGTGATTCAAATATGATTTTTAAAAAGATAATACATCACAAAGGTGATTCTGTGTGCTTAATCCTTATCATTAAAGACTCTTCATCGGTTAGCTTCTCCTCAGAAGCAGCTGCCCTAAAGCAACTAGATTTTTAACATGATTAGAAAAGCGTGGGTTTTTTTTTTTTTTTTTTTTTTGCTAATGTGTTTGTTTTGTCACCAGATAACAACACAAAGGCAGCATTTGTCCAGAATAACCAGAACATAAAAATGTCACAGGACAATTCACTGATTCTCATTATGGCTAAACTTGATCCTAAAGAAGACATGCTTTAATATTTTTTCTGAAGTTATAATAGTTCTGTGGTCGATACCAAACTTTTCAGCAGCTTTGCTCTTGACATTTTCAGTACCTTCCACAATGAGCCAAATCAGGGTCACAGGAGTCATCACCTGTTACTACCATGGACATCAACATCAAATTATAGTCTTCTTAGGCCATAGAAATAATTTATTTTAGAAAAATAAATTAAAAAGTGCTTTTCTGACCCTTTGTTTTGTAAAGGATACGTTTTCTCGTGAGCACACATGCAGTATTTCGGCTGTGCCAGTTGCGTCATTTGGAATTGTAGGATGTCTAAAGAAGATCCCGTATTTTTTCAAAGACAACTAGTTCTAAAATGAAAGTTGAAACGACGTCTTTTCTGGAAGCGGAGCACTGCGGGCTATAGCGGTGTTACTCTGCGCTGTCCATATATGGTACTGTACATCCTGCCTTTGTGACGACAGTAAGGTCAGAACTCAAGATCTCGTTTTGGAGTGCGTGTGCTCGTGGCGTGCACGTGGGCTGGTTGAAGAAGAAAAATCATTAGGAAGCCATCCTGTGCACTTTTTCAAGTGGAAAAGTGAAAATTTCAGATGATGACTCCTTTAAAGAAGACAAATCTGGTGATGGACAGCAGCAGCTCAAGAGGATGAGCGGGTTGTCCGGTAATCGAAAGGTTGCAGGTTCGATTCTGACTCCAGACAGAGAATCCTGCTGTTGTGTCCTTAACCCACCTTGTCTGCCGGTAGTGGTCTGAGGGATTGGTGGTGCTTGTCAGCCCCAGGGCAGCTGCGATGTAGCTCATCACCACCAGTGTGTGAATGTGTGTGTGAACAGATTAATGATACACTGTAGTGTAAAGCGCTTTGGAGTCCTCTGACCTCCACCCCCACCCCCCAAGACTCCTTTATATTTGGGAGTGGCTGAGAAAAGAGCCGCCGCTCCTCCTGCAGCGGCTCTACTCAGGTGAGCTGGAGTTCCATGCAAAAGTCCACATTTGTGACATCACAAACGGGGAATTTTAGAAACGGCTTGTTTTAGGCTAACAATTCCCAAAACTAGACACAGGCAGAAATTGGCTGGATGGGTTTTATCCATGTTTTAAGTGTTTGTAGAAGCAGAAGAAACCCACATGGCAGCACAGCAGGTGAGATGAGCATAATAAGTCCTTTTTAACAGATGGAAACCCCTCTGCTTGTTGTTTTTCACCATCTTTAAAGGTATCTCCTTTCACACCTGCAGTATTGGGACATCTTCTGTTTGAATGGGCGTAAACGCAGCAGCTATCTAACATATAAAAGTCAACATTTGAGTTGGGTAATGAAGTTTGTGATTTACACATAAAGTAAAATATAATTATCAATCTGGAAAGTCCTCTGCTTGTGTTATAGTGTTTCTGGGCTCACGCTGAGCCGACACGTACACATCCAAATTAGATACTAGATAAAAGGTAATCACTAACAAGCTTTTCTCTGTTAGCACTGACATTTCATTATCGAAGCATGAACCCTTTTAAAAGCACCAAAGCATTAGTAAAATTGAAAAAATAACAATTTTTCATTGTCTTTCTGGTCAGTTTCTTCCTCTGATTCCCTTCATCAACAGAGTTCGGAAGCATTCGGGATCTTTGAGCTGTTTCCCTTTCACTAAATCTAGCCTAACAGCAGAAGCCTGATGAGCAACACTGGTTTTATTTTTCCAAAGATTTATCCTCTCAGTCATCAAATGTTCAACTTTATCTGTCAGCAAGAATTTTTTTCTGTTTCGACTGACAGAAAAGCTTCATTACATCAACAACTAATTAACTGTGCTGTCAAACAAATGGTAACTGATATGATCATGTCCCGTAAGGGGAAGTGGACACACACACACACACACACACACACACACACACACACACACACACACACACACACACACACACACATACACACACACACACACACACACACACACACACACACACACCTTCTCCATGAGAGGCCAGTAAACCAGCTGTTGCTGCAAGAGTTAAAATTAAGGTTGTGTCGCCATCTAGTGGCCAGTCTGCAGACAGTTAAAACTTTAGGATTTCTGAATTCTTCTTTTTTAAAAGGGTGTTTGTTACTTTCCATAAAATTACACTCAGCTATAAATAAACTCTAAAAGAGTGAACTTAAACAATATTTTTTTCCCCTGAGAACAAATGTTAAAACCTGCAGACAACCGAACAAGGGAGATTTATTTCTGGTTTTGTTAAAACACTTCTTTAGCATGCCTGATCAGGCAAGCCTAATAAACCGGAACCATAAAGTGCTTTGCTAGAAAAGATGCAAAACGTATTCACAATTAATTTTAAATGATTTTTGACGGATCTACAAACCAGACAAAAGGCAACTGAATGTAAACCATGCGTTCAAAAACAACTGTAAGAGATTCAATTTGGTTTACAGAAAGAGGAACATGCAAACAACCACTCAGACGTACAAAACCAAGTCAAATGTTGTCAGCCAGAAACTCAAATACAATAGCCTGCAGCCTGGTCGCCATTATCTTGTAGAGCAGCTTCAAAAGCTATAAAAATAATGCATTCAGTCAATTAAATAAAACCCATTTAACACTTTCAGAGATTATTCAATTCATCTGAGTTCAAAACATTGTACATGAAGGAGATGCTGAGGTACTTGCAGAAATGTTGCACCACCACAGAGTAAACCAAGGAGATGAAGAATATGGGTCAGCAGCATGAATAATGCAATGATCATCAGCAAGGAAAGTGTCTGTTAGGCTTGGACGCCTCTAATCCCAACCCAAGCTTTAGAACTGAAGACTCCGCTTGGATAACAGCTGAAACGTATTCAAGATAACAATATAGTCCAGTTGTTTTCATTTGAAACTCAAGACTATCATTTCCTGGATGATCACCATCACTGCAGAATGCAGCAAGTGGGGGCAGGAAGTGCTCACTCTTACAGGGGTAGAGACATGAAGGCAGGGGGTCGCTTTGGGAACTAAAGAGGTTCTTTTTCACTGCGTCCTTCATGGGAAGTGGATCCGGGCTCAGAGGAGCCTCTCAGTGTGTGATATTCTGCATGTGTTTTGTTGTCATTGTGCTTTTGTTTTCATCATATGTTCACTTGATATTGTAACTTTTTTTTATTTCTACTCATGTCATTTTTTTCTGTATAACCCAACTTGAATCTCTTAAGAAGCCCTGCCCCTTATTGTTTAGCAACTTTACTCTGATTGTTACTTAAGATGATTTTTCTACAAATTATTAGCTGAATGTTTTTGGTGAAACTAACAACATTTCACAATAAAAGGATTCAGAAATATAAAAATTTGCAGGAAAAAGCGTGCTGTGAGAAATATCTTGCAATGATAGTGACTGGCCACTAGATGGGGACATAAACCTGATTTAGACTCTTGCAGCAACAGCTGGTTGGCATGGGTGGGGGTCAGCCAATTAACTGTGCAGTCATGACATGGGAATATTGTTAAAAGGAACAAGTTCTGAAAACAAAAGAACAAAACCAGCAGTTAGCATTGAAGGTGGCTTTATGATTTGCATCAGATACTCTAAATATGTAAAAACATTGAGACTTAAATCTATAACCAGTGAAAAGACTTGATATTTGCTTTGTGAGTGCTGAATACAGTAAATGACCATCAGATAGGAAAGCCCAGATTCTTCCGCATCCCAAAAGGTGGGATTACACATCTGCGCAGCTTTTAATTGTTTTATTTTGTTCTATTTGAACAGCTAATTTAATGGATTAATGAACTCTAAACTTTGTTTGTAGTTTAACTTTTACAGACTGTGTCACTGAGCATTTAAACAAACTAGCCAGAAATTTAAAGGCTTTCCACGTGTGCAAGAAAAACATTTTACTACTACTACTACTACTACTACTACTACTACAACTACTACCACTACTAAAAATAATAATAACAATAATAACAGTAATATTAATAATAATAATATTAATAATAATAATAATATTAATAATAATAATAATAATAATAATTATTATTATTATTATTATTATTATTATAGTAATAGTTATTATATTATTAATATCATTAATAATATTTAGATATATTTTTATCGCATTTATTATTAAAATAGAAAAAAACAATACTAACAAATAAAATGAGGTTTCTCAAACCAAGAAAATGAAAAGGGAACAGAAAGAAGAAAACGTATGTTATCTGCCCCTTTTAAACTAAAATGACATTTTTACAATGAAATAACAATAATTATAGATTAACCTATACAAAGTAATTGCTCGACTGGTTAGCTGACTTGAGTTCAATTTGTAAAGAAGAAAGAGAAAATTAATAGTAATAATAACAATTCAAAAAGTAAAAGGATTTGTGCACATATACCTATTCATACATATATACATTAAAGTGCATCACATGCCCATATGCTCGCACATACTTCATCTATACATATCCATATAGACATACACACGTATCCGCTACACATACACATACATACGTACGTACACACATGAATATACCTACGCACATCTCTATAGCTTTATATTTTTATTTATTTTATATATATATAATTGATTTGCACGTATATGATTCCAGTATTTCATTTTAATTAGTTTTTTGAACGTAAATATTGTTTTTGCATCCTTGATTACATTACCTAGCTTATTCCATATTTTAACTCCATATATAGAGACACAGCGCTCCTTTATAATTGTTCTACGCTTAGGTGTTGTAAATAATTCATGTCCTTTTTATATGTTGTTCCCCAAATTTCTATACAATAGTTCAAATATGGTGCAATAAGTGAATTGTATAATAAATATAGGGTGTTATCATCCAGTGACCATTTTACTCTATGTAACATTGCAATTGTTTTAGCCATTTTAGTTTTCACATTGTTTATATGTGGCTTCCAAGATACATTGTCGTCGATTATAACTCCCAAAAATTAAACTTATTTTACTGTTGTATTATTAATATCATCTATATTTAATAGACTTGTATCATTTGAGTTACTTTTACTGAATATCATGAAACATTATATATATATATATATATATATATATATATATATATATATATATATATATATATATATATATATATCCTCATAGGTGGTTTGTGGTGGTTTAAGATGGAAAGAAAATTAAATGAATAAGAAGTAAAACTTGGGGGTAGGGACAAATAAGTTAATACTTCTGCCGATACTCCTTTTCAAACACATAATGAAATCATGTTTTGTAATGTGAAATGTTTGAAATAAAAATGAACTGAACTATTATTATTATTATTATTATTATTATTATTATTATTATTATTATTATTATTATTGGTGTAACATCAAAGACAGCCAATGGGTGGCAGTGTTACACACCAGTTGAATGTGTGGCTGATGTGCAGGTATACCATCACCAGAGAATGTGATGTGGGAATGAAAGAGTTAAGGTTATTTCTCAACACTGAGACACCAATGCAGATTAATTAAATTTACAAAAAGCACCAAATAAAGTTTGGTTTTAGTTTTCTGACATGCACAGTCAGTTTAAAACAGCCTAAATGGCAGAGATGCGTAACTGATAACAGTAAAACATTTCTTTCTTTCTTTTTATTAAACATATTTCATGTTTTTGTCGCCACCAAGTGAGATTCCAGCCTGTATTTCTACAAACTCTAATATCCGGATGCAGGCACATAAAAAATGGAAAACAAAATAAAGTCGCGCTCATGAAACCTGAACAGTGTAGAGTGGCGCACCGTGCGGTGCGGTGCGTGGGGGCTGCCCCTCCATCTGATGGCAGCATCAGGTAGTCCCGTGAAACATTTGCGTGGGAGTTCCCTCCAACGCCATACGTCTCTCTCTCTCTCTCTCTCTCTCTCTCTCTCTCTCTCTCTCTCTCTCTCTCTCTCTCTCTCTCTCTCTCTCTCTCCCTCTCTCTCTGTCTGTCTGTCTCTCCGCACATCCTCCCCCACATTAACAGCTTAGCAGCAGCGGCTCCTACAGCATCCCTCCATCCCTCCGCCTGCCTGCCTGCCTGCCTGGGGAGCAGCGGTCCAGCCCGGCGCAGCAGCGACGCACGGAGGGGGCGCATCCTCCAAGTGATGCTACAGCATCCGCCGCATTTCGACCACAAATACTGAGGAGTAGATCCCAAACGAAGGAGAGAACCCCGCTTCAGTCTCGAAGACAGCAACTGCCCATGAAGATGTCTAACGCTGACATCGTCTTAAACCCCACCGATCGGGTGGTAAAATGTAAGTCAGCCCACGTTCCGCTCGGTTCTGGCTCCGTGTTACATAACAACTCGCTGTGCTCTGGTGGACGTGGCCTTTGTTGTTCCGTCGTGCGTTGATGGTGTAGATCTGCGGCTGGATCAAGTTGTGTTGGAGGTAGTGGGCAACGGAAGCTTTGATGTTGATAAACAATCCGGTTTTCTCTGCTACCCAGCACCCCCTCCTCCCTCCACTCCCATCCCCAAACCGAAAACGAGCAGATAAGAGACACTGAACCGGAAGATTGAAATAATCTGATTTATTTCCACTGATTTACCAACGATTTCATCTGAGCTGGCTCCATTTGACAGCATCTTTGGCTTCAGGAGGAGTGAGGAGGAGGAATTACCGAGCTGTGTGGTGGGAGCAGTGATGCAGCAGGATTTCATGGGCTTGGACGGGGGCAGCAAAGGAAGAAGAGGGCACGAAATTGACATTTAATGGGGTATACTTTACCAGCAGTGAGTCATGTTATAATTGAACCTGGGAGAAATAAGGAGGGGGCTATAAAGAATTGATCAGTGTATGATGAAGTGTCCACAGTAGCCGTAACTCGCTGGCCCTGCTCGTTTGGACTCTGAATCCAGTCAGTCTGTTATCATGAAGGCCGAGCAAGCTCAGTCAGCATGGACAACTTTGTCCTTTTAGCTCTTGAGTTGTGTGTGTGTGTGTGTGTGTGTGTGTGTGTGTGTGTGTGTGTGTGTGTGTGTGTGTGTGTGCAGGCGCAGCGAGTGTGAGCTGCTATAATTTCATTAGGCTGGTTCAGTATTCAGACTGGAACTCAACAAATAAATCTCAGACACCTGGATCACACTTTTTCCTCCTGAACCGTGTCAGTGTCAGATCATCACAACACTGTCACGTATTAACACACACACACACACACAAACACACACACACACACCCTATTCGGCCCACGACATCCATCACAAAAGGTTTTAAATGACTTGTCCATCTTTATCCAAGGATTCAAAAACATAAGTCAGGTTTATGTCGGCCTGATCACGTAACACCAAAACTAACTGGAGTGTGTCTGTTCCACTCGTGCTGTTCGCTCTGCCTCAGGCTTTTAAAATATATTATTTATTATTGAAACTTTCTTAGATAATGTTTAATTCTCCAAATGTGATCTCTTCTCTGCTTCACAGATGCTGTTATGCTATTGGAGTCTATTACTCCCTGACAGGCACGAGGGATATTTCACTTTGTTACTTTTATCTGCTTCTCTATTTTCACTCTCTTTGAAACGTCTTTTTTTGCTCCCCAGAGGCCTGAATAGTAAAATAAATAAAGAAAATAGTTGTCAGAAAGTGGCTTCTGTAGCCATCAGGTGATCAAAGGGATATCTCAAGGCAGAGGCGATTTTGAAGCTGAAAGCGACATTTCCTGCTGTTATTGTGTGCACACACTCACACATAAAGTTATTTTTATCTTATGCATCTCCACCCTAAATTCATAGCTGTTTTTCTTTATTCCAGTTCGAACCTGCAGCCTAAAACTCTGCAGACGTTTGTCTTCCTGTCGCCCCTGTGCTGTAAACATCAAGAGGCATGAGGCCATAACTCTGCCCGTGTGCTTCCCGTCTTTACCCTGACACATAATATGTCAGGCTTCATGAAAGCCTCTCCCTCTTCCATCCAAGCATCCTCCAGCATCACTCATAATGACTGTGTGCATGTCGTGCTGCAGAAGTTTTACAGAAGAGGCTCGAGTCATCAGTGAGGCAATCTTATAGCACTGATTACAGCACTCCCATGACATCATGTTATAACATGACACCTATGTCTTTATTAATTAGAGCTCCTATAGAACACCACGGTCCAGTTAGTCCAATCAGGTAAAGCTGTACCGCGTTTCCTGACAGAGCCCAGGTTGCTTGTTAGCACTGAAAAATAAAAAAATAAAAACACCTTCCTGGGTATTTTATTCACTTTACAGAAGGAAAACTATATTTCTTTCAGACTGAAAGACCTGAACCCCTCTGAGACAGAATTTAGAGATTTATCGTGTCAACTGTACGACCAACACTTTACAGTATATCTGTGTAAACCTCCAGTGCAAATTGCAGTTTTCTGGAGCGCCTCTGGCTGCACTCCAACAGTCAGCTGCTGCTGCTGCTGCTGCTGTTGCCCGGCAACGTACAGTATTTCATAGTTCAGCGGTGCTCGGCTGCTGAGCAGAAGTCAGCTTTTCATCTCTGCAGCACCATATATCCATAGGCGGCGTCAACACGGGCATTTCTGAAGAAGATGATCAGAAAAAGATTTATTGTTAACCTTGTGGAAAGTAAATAAGCAAAGATAACATTTTAATTCCTTTGATCATATTGTGGCATTAATAACCTCTCCATTAGGAGGCTTCTTTCGGGCCATAGATGCTATACAAATGCATCTTTATTCCACGTGTTATTTATTTATCAAAAGTGTTGATTTATTTTTTCAGCTTTTCATGTTCAACGACACGATTGTTCTTTGTTTCATGAGCTGGTTGTGGAGCGATTTCCAGTGACACAATGAAAGACTTTCAGATGTCACTCATACCTTATACAGTAAGAATAACCCTGAGTAGTCACAAACATAAGTTGTTTTCATTTATTCATTTTTATCTAAACTGCAAAAAGCTGCAAAAAGCTGTAACAATATACATATACATATATATATATATATATATATATATATATATATATATATATATATGTATATATATATATATATATATATATATATACATATATATATATATATATATATATATATATGTATATATATATATATATATATATATATATACATATATATATATATATATATATATGTATATATATATATATATACATATATATATATATATATATATATATATATATATATATATGTATATATATATATATATATATATATATATATATATATATATATATATATATATATATATATATATATACAGTTTCTGAACAGAAAAATCAGAAATTACTGTATTTACTGTTTATATATATATATATATACAGTTTCTGAACAGAAAAATCAGAAATTACTGTATTTACTGTTTATATATATATATATATATATATATATATATATATATATATATATATATATATATATATATATACAGTTTCTGAACAGAAAAATCAGAAATTACTGTATTTACTGTTTATATATATATATATATATATATATATATATATATATATATATATATATATATAAACAGTAAATACAGTAATTTCTGATTTTTCTGTTCAGAAACTCTGTGTGTGATTAAATAATAATCCAAAAAAGGACATGTGCTATGACTTTTAAAAAGTTATAATAGCTGTATGGTCATTACAAAACATGATAATCCTCCCACATTGCTAATGGGGTCAGATGGACCTCTGGTGTATTTTAAGTTTTTATTTAAATATTTTTTAAGGGATGCATCACTTCACCCCTGCCAAAGTGTAAACTTTAAACCTTGTTTAACCACCCGCTGTCCTGGCGGGGTCACCTGATAGGAAAGTGGAAGGGTTAATGAATGAAAGCCCTCTCACATAAAACAGCTTTTGTCGTTGCTGTCTCCTGACAGTTTCAGTAAACCTTCCAAAAGGAGCCGTTTTGGTGTTATGTCACTTTAACAAAACAAGCTGCCGCTGGCCACGCCCTCCCATTCTTGGCTCAGGCTGCTATAAGCTGAGAAGCTCTAATATCCAGGAAGGGCTTACCTCTTCTTTACACCAGCCATCAAAGCTATCGTGTAACTCAAAAGCTGCGTTTTACCCAGAGCTCTTCCCAAACTGGGAGCAATTCTGATGTGACGTTTACCTGTGTGTGAATTTTATTTTTGAATGTGTCCAGATGTGTTTTACACTGCTATTGAGTTTCACTTCCTGTCTGGCGCAATAATTTTTTTTAAATTTATTTCATTTATTATTAAAATAGAAAAAAACAATACTAACAAATAAACTCAGGTTTCTCAAACCAAGAAAATGAAAAGGGAACAGAAAGAAGAAAACGTATGTTATCTGCCCCTTTTTAACTAAAATGGCATTTTTACAATGAAATAACAATAATTATAGATTAACCTATACAAAGTAATTGCTCGACTGGTTAGCTGACTTGAGTTCAATTTGTAAAGAAGAAAGTGAAAATTAATAGTAATAATAACAATTCAAAAAACAAAAGGATTTTTGCACATATACCTATTCATACATATATACATTAAAGTGCATCACATGCCCATATGCTCGCACATACTTCATCTATACATATCCATATAGACATACACACGTATCCACTACACATACACATACATACGTACGTACACACATGAATATACCTACGCACATCTATAGCTTTGTATCTTCATTTATTGATTTATGTTTTTATATAATTGATTTGCACGTATATGATACCAGTATTTCATTTTAATTAGTTTTTTGAAAGTAAATATTGTTTTTGCATCCTTGATTACATTACCTAGCTTATTCCATATTTTAACTCCATATATAGAGACACAGCGCTCCTTTATAATTGTTCTACGCTTAGGTGTTGTAAATAATTCATGTCCTTTTAGTTCATGTTTACTCTGTCTTTTTATAAATCTTCTAAGTAAATTTTTAGGAACGGTCTTTTTGTTTGCATTATACATAAATTTAGAAATATTGTAGTCCACTAGGTCATAGAATTTTAATGTTTTTGTTTTTATAAATAACAGGTTAGATGGATCTCTGTAATTACTCCTTGTAATGATTCTTATTGCTTTTTGGCAATATATAGATAGAATTTGTATAAGTTTTATATGTTGTTCCCCAGATTTCTATACAATAGTTCAAATATGGTGCAATAAGTGAATTATATAATAAATATAGGGTGTTATCATCCAGTGACCATTTGACTCTATGTAACATTGCAATTGTTTTAGCTATTTTAGTTTTCACATTGTTATGTGGCTTCCACGATACATTATCATCGATTATAACTCCCAAAAAATTTACTTTCTTTTACTCTTGTATTATTAATATCATCGATATTTAATAGACTTGTATCACTTTTACTAAATATCATGAAACATGATTTATCAGTGTTTAATGAGAGTTTATTTCCATCAAGCCATAATTTTATTTTTCATCTCATTTTGTACTGTTTCTATCATCTGTTTGATATCATCTCCTGCATAATAAAAGGTAGTGTCGTCTGCAAATAGAATACATTTTAATATATTTGTTATTTTTTTATATATTTTATTTTCATATGTTGTTTGTTTAATTTAAGACTGAAAGAAAATTAAATGAATAAGAGGTAAAACTTGGGGGTAGGGACAAATAAGTAAATACTGCCTACTCCTTTTCAAACAAATAATGGAATTATATTTTGTAATGATACATGTGTGAAATGTTTGAAATAAAAATGAACTGAACTGAAATATAGAGGCAATATCATTTCTATACATTATAAATAGTTTCGGACCCAGTCAGGAATTCATCTGGCCTAGTAATAAATAGTTTTTCTAATATTTTTGAAAATTGCGATAGTAAGGATATTGGTCTGTAATTGGAAAAAATGTGTTTTTCACCACTTTTGTATTTCGGTATGAATTTTGCTATTTTCATGTTATCTGGAAATGTCCCTGTTGTAAAAGATAAATTACATATGTAAGTGAAGGGATGGATGGTATTTTCTATTATATTTTTTATTAATGTTATGTCTAGGTTGTTACAGTCAGTAGTTCTTTTATTGATTCATTTATTTACAATGATTCTTATTTCATTGCTAGTTACTGGACTCAGAAGTATACTATTTTTATTACTTGTTATTTTTCCACTGATGCTATGATTACTTCTTTTAGGAATGTTGTTTGCTAAGTTTGGTCCCACACTAGTAAAGTAATTGTTAAATTTGTTTACTATTGTGCTAGTTTCACTAATTGTGGAGTTTGACGCGTTTTGTATGCGTAGGGTGTCCAAAATTGACTGGAAAGGTAATGATAGCATCCCCTCGTGTCTGGGACCAAAACGTCACATTTTACTGCCGCTGGAAAGGAGGGGTAAGAGTAGAGCCGCTGCTCCTCCAGTCTGGAGAGGTGACGGGGCATTTCATGAAAATATCAATGTTTGTGACATCACAAACAGGGACTTTTTGGTTTTAGACGAATAACTCCTAAAACCAAACACTGACAGAAACAAGATGGATGTTTTTCATGTTTGGAGTGTTTCTAGAGGCAGTAGAGACCCACATGTCAGCATAAAAGATGTAAAGGTTCAGTTTTTCCTATTTTGCCCCCTTTGGTGAGTAATGCTGGAGTATGGAGTATGCATGATTACAAGTATTAAAGACCCCCTGTGTCTCAGTCTCTACCATCTCCAGCTTTAGCTCAACACTTATAAAATAAGTAGTTGTAGGCCTTTTTGTTTTCTTTTACTACTTTTGATAGTTCACAGCGGCCATCTTGAATTGGGCTGATTGAACGTTATTCAGTTGAAGAGGCCTATTCAGTTATGGGATTCTCTAAAATCCATCTGGAGGTATTTTGCAAACAAACACATGCAGATATAGTAAAAACCCTTGAGCAGTGGGCCACAAGGAGATTCATGCATCTCATTAGCAGATTTATTCATGTAAAATATACACTAAATCACTAATAACGATGTCTATAGGTTTGTAGCATATGCTGTCAGTTCCTGACTGAGCTGGAAGCTTCAGGAGCCTCCTAAGTTGTTATTATACCTTATGAGTCCGTTCACTTCCTCTGTGCACTATTCTGACGGTCCTGAGTTTGTTCTTGCTGGCTGAGTGTCAGAGCACACATCGCCATCACAGAAACACACAGCACACTGTGAAAATTTTAGTCCCATTAGCTACACTTGCTGGGGCTTGCCTCATTATCGCAGGAGTAGCAGCTTTGAGATTTCTCTAGTTTAGCATTCATTATTAAAGACCTCCTTGATCATGTTCAGTTTAAGCCCGAGCTCAGAGACTCTTTCTTTGTTTTCTCTTCATTTGGCGCTGCTGTTTTGCACATTTGCTGCACACTGCAGAAATCTGGCAAGCACCCCCTCATGCTCCGGGTTTGTTCCTGCTGTTGACTCGGGTTATTTCTACATGACGTATGCAAGTGTGTGTTTTTGTCTGCAAGTTTATATAGCAGTGAAAAGGCGACTGGCATTCATCTTACATAATTTTTCTTTCGTGTGAATTATTCATAGCTAGACACAGAAAAAGTCTTCCACGTTGAACCAGATGATCTGTAGATTAACGTGCTGAAGCTTGTGGTCATATCAACAGAGATCAGCAGCACCAGATTAAAGAAAAGCCTTTAGTGCTGCCGCTGCTGCTGAAGTAATGATCTGTGGTTGGATTTCACACTTTCACAGGCTGTCTGGTGGGTAGGTAACTGATGCATTTTAACGGCAATGCTCTTCAGCCATCTAGGAAGAGAGGACAGTTTATTTAATGTTTCATGCATCTCAGAAATTAGAGTTTCACATCTGTACTGGAATAATTATTATGAAGTGACAGATCTGTTAATGAACACTATACATTATGCATAACTCATTTATGCCACAGTAAAGAAATGGATTCCTGGCGACATTACCAGTACCAGCGTTTTTGGTCTTTTCTTCGTCCCGGTGTCTAAATGCCACTAAGTGCCTGTGTCCTCTGTCTTTAGCTGTCCCATTCCCCCTGAGCCACCACCTTACGATGAAGGAGGTGTTTGACTGTGAAGGCAAACCTCGGGTGGATCTCCTGAAGGCTCACCTGACCAAGGAGGGCCGTGTGGAAGAGGCAGTGGCTCTTCGAATCGTCAATGAGGGAGCAGCCATCCTCCGCCAGGAGAAAACTATACTAGACATCGAGGCGCCAGTCACAGGTACACGGTCGTTTAGAGTTAGGGTTAGGGTAACAAACCGAGTGTGGATTGCTATAGAGGTGCTTTATTTTATTTTCTCTGTCTAAATGTTAAAGGATACTATGCAACTTTTTCACCTTTTAAAATCATGTTCTTGAGCCAAAGTGTGCTAACATGACCCTTTACAAGGTTAATGAAATGCCACTCAGACACCCTCTACCTCCTGCAGCCAGAATTCCACATTTGCAACTTCAGAGTGCCGGTCCATTCTGTTGGACTGAGAGAAAAATGGAGCTGACATACCTGGCGCTGCAATCTGGTTCCAGCACATTTCCTGCGCGTTCTATTTCATGAACATGGCTGATTCGTTTAATTTGGTGATGAACCACTCTTGTAGACACTACGAAGGCTGAAAGACATGTCAACTGTAAGATTATGGTTTTAAAAAGACGAATGCACAGCGAGGAGATACATTTTACTTTTGGTTCTACTAAATGGACACTGGGGGGTGCTAAAAGTAAGCCAAAACTGCCCAATCCCCTTTAAAGGGAGTAAAGCATTTCATATTATTTTAAAGCCAGACGACCTGCTCATTTAAAATATGACAGGTTTTATAACAGCAGGCCTATGCAAGGATTTCATTTGTGTTGGATTTTGTTTTTGGATCATTTAGATTGTTTATTGGTCAGATTTAAATCATATATTGTTAATGCAGTAATCCCGAGTTTCCCCCTTTCAGGAGTTACGTATGATTTTTAGAAATCCATAAAGTGATAGTTTTACCCTGTACTTTTATATAATGTAGGCAAAAGGTACATTTTCTCTTTGCTAAGCCCACCTCCCGTCCCATAGAACCCCATGCACCCTGGCTCAGCGTTAGCCATCCATTTATTTACAGATGTCAGTCACAGATAACAGAAGTACCTAGACTGATATATATATATATATATGAATAAACAGCATAACATGAGAATAATAATTGTAAAAGAATGTGTTTTATCTCTGTTGGCCAGCTAGAATTGCATGTTCACGAACGAGAGGTGTTGCTTTCAGCCGTAAACACGTAGGTGCAATATTTTTTTTGCTTCTAGATGGTGCCCTTTGCCAAAAAACTCCAGATATCTGCTTTAAGTCATTTTTTAATGAATGCACCGTTTGCAAAAAAAGAAAACTTATTTTGTAAAAGTTTTCTTTCATATAAATATCTTGTTCTAGGCCCCTATACATTCAACCCCAGTATTGCATTATGGCTATAAATTATTTTCAGTTTTAACCATTGACTGTTGAAATACTAGACAACCCCCCCATAGCGTTCTGAAGAGCTTCTTTGAAACCCCATGGGCGGTTCAGATCACCACCATCTTGGCTGTGTCACACGTCTCCTCACGCCCATACAAAGAGGTGTAGCTGAGAGTGGAACACTGAGGATCTCAGTCTGCAATTGCTCCCAGCTACAAGCTAACTGAGCTAGCCAAAGCTAATGGGCGGTGCAGAAAAACACAACTCTAATGTGAAGCACGCATCAACTCACTAATTTGTGGTGTTTCTGGTCTCCCTCAGAGAGCTCCACAGGTGATAAGCACAGCCTCAGACTGCAGCAATTGGAGCCCACTGTATGATCCTCCACAGCAGTCGGAGATCCACTGAGAGGAGTTGGGGAGTGACGGCTGAGGCCGGTGTTGTATCAGCGCAACATAGCAGTCAGAGGAGCATACCAGCAGATAATGCGTGGCGCATGCTCCTCTGACTGGTATGCTGTCACTGGGGTTAGGGTAAGAGTTAAGTTTATTTCTGCTGTAAAGTTGTCACCTTTAATCAGCCGGGCCTTAGGTAAAAAAATTCTGTGTGCACATGCATGTATACACACATGTATACGTACATGTATACGTGTACACAGGACGGTCTGGAGCTCCCTAGTTGGGATGCTGCCCCCGCGACCCGGACCCGGATATGCGGAGGAAGACGACGACGATGACGACGACATGTATACATATATATATATATATATATGTATATATATATATATATATATATACATGTGTGCATACATGTACGTGTACACACACACACACACACACACACATATATATATACATGTGTGCATACATGTACGTGTACACACACACACACACACACACACACACACACATATATATATATATATATATATATATATATATATATATATATATATATATACATGTGTGCATACATGTACGTGTACACACACACACACACACACACACACACACACACACACACACACACATATATATATATATATATATATATATATATATATATGTGTGTGTGTGTGTGTGTGTGTGTGTGTGTACACATGCATGTATGTACACATGTACACGTACATGTATGCATACATGTATAAATACAAATACACATGTACGTGTACATACATGCATGTATGTATGCAGATACATGTATGCATGCATGCATACATACATGTACACATGTATCTGCATACATACATGCATGTATACATGCATACATACATGCTTGTATGTATGCATGTATACATGCATGCACGTGTACATACATACACACATGCATGTACTGTATGTACACATGTACACGTACTTGTATGCACACATGTGTACATGCATGTATACATGCACGTGTACATACATACACATGTATGTACACATGTATGCATGTATGTACACACATGTATATTCATACATACATGCATTTATGTACACGTACATGTATACATGCATGTGTACACACATAGCCTACATGTTTATGATCATAGAAGAAGGGTAAAGATTATCAAATATACAGTTTCACATCTGGTTTAGGTGTTGTTTGTTCATGCTGACAGACCAGAAGAGTGTCCACAAATGCTACTCCTATCTGCTGTGTTTCACAACCCTCAAGAACAAGAGCCCTTGTACTCTATCGCCCTTGCATGAAGAAGAAACCTAGTCCAAACTCGGAGTTTATGGTCTACATTCGTCCATCTGCAGACTACAGGCTCGCTCTCAGATTTGCCAGTTTTCATTTAGTCTGTGTCACTCTACTACAAATCATTGCAGTGCTTTTGGAGATATCTGTACAACAGCATCACACCATCTGTACAAAGACAAATATAAGCTGAGGCCAAACAAACTCAATTCCACCAATCTGCAGCAGTAAACGCCAAAGATCGCAAAAATGTTTTATCAGTTTTTAAGTCGTAATTTAATATTTTTTCTGAAATCAGTTGTTTTGTTCTGTGAAGATTTTATTTGGATCTGAAAGAAGACCACTCTTAGTCTATTCATAATTGGCTGGCTTTCCCATGCACGCTAATGCTAATATCATAAGCTGTATGATATTAAAAATACATGTATGAATTCATTAGCATACTGTAAGCCACAACTGAAAGCCAGGAGTGTTTTCAGCCAACTGAAAGTGACAAGTAGAAGTTTCAGACTTAATGTATTGAGCTGACAACGTGAACTTATTGGAAATGGGGTACTCATGCATTTGTTTTGTGTCTTTGTGAGTTAGGGCAGAGCTTGAATTTCAATACAGCTTGCATGCACCATAATGCATGGGTGTTTGTGCATAGTTCTGTATTATATGTGCGCATGTGTGCATTTGATTGCTTTAGTCACACAAGCAGTCTCCCACACACATTGCTCTAAGCTTTGAGTGGGCGAAGGCCACTGTGGAGCTGATAGGGGAGTCAGAGAAGCAAGAGGAGATGGAGGATGAGCAGGAGAGAATGAGAAAGAGCAAGATGATAATGAAAACTTGAAGTCAGCAAGGAAATGAGATGTAGGTTTGCACTCCAGAGTCTTGGTGTTCCTTGTGAAAAAGTATATGTCTCCCTGGGAGGTTGAGTTTCTTCTGCCCCACTGAGATGACATTGTCCCATTTCTCAGAGCAGAATCAGAAGGCAGAGACCTTTCAGCTAAGGATGATGGAAACATCTCATTACTCTCAATACCTCAAATGATAAAAGTACTTCCAACATTGATTATTTTGCAGGTTTTATCAGTTGTGCAAATACCTTTTTTTTGCACAAGAGTTGCTAAATCCATGAGAAATCGAATCTGCATATACCTACAATCTGATCTGGTAGAGGGACATGTCTATGAACTGGAACGTCACGTCATGTCGTCAGTGTAACCGTGTTTTCTGATCTACCTGGCATTGCTTTTCATGCACACATCAGCTATAGCGTACGATCACATGAAAATAAAAAACATTCACTCCTTTAATGTTTATATTGTTGTTGTTTATTGGCAGTTCATGTCACTGATCACTGAGAGAATGAGACTTGACTGTTCTACCGGTATATCGTAACAGATGTCTGCATACAGAGGACGAGGCAATTCAAATGATTGTTTACCGTGTTGTGATTTTTTTAATAATAGCTTGGATTTTTACAGGAAGTTTATTATTTATTACAGATATGATAAATATTATAAAGATAAAAAAGGGCTTTTAAATACTTCGCACAGAAAAAACGGTACAGTTTAAATGATATAACGATGTGGAGGTAGTAAAATGGGCTTGATCAGAAAAAATATATGATGCGGGATGTATTTTGAAATTTGATGTTTATTCATTTCATAATTAGTTGTCCATCCCTCCTTCCACAGCTGTGCCACCATGCAGCTCCAGAATTAAACCACTTGTATGACTTAAAGACTTCTCTACTTTCTTTACAACACCGTATGTTGTACAGTACCAAACCAGGTCATGTGTGTATAGTAACAGATAGCATCACATTGTATTGTACTGTAATGTTTAATATTGTATCAATGTGTATTAAATTGTATGTAATACAGTTGAATCATTTCATAAACACATTGGATTGCATGTGATAGTCTATTGTGATCTATAATGGTGCATTTATGGCAGCCACGTATATACATACATACATACACACACACATATATATAATTAAAAGGTGTCTCTAATTCATGCAAATCCGCTGTCTTCTGGTTGTTTTCTAGTCTGTGGGGACATCCACGGGCAGTTCTTTGATCTTATGAAGCTGTTTGAAGTGGGAGGATCTCCTGCCACAACACGGTACCTCTTTCTTGGGGACTACGTTGACCGTGGCTACTTCAGTATTGAGGTGAGAACGTCCTCCAGTATGTGAAGAAGAAAATAACTTTCTGTGTTCCTCTAATCTCAGCAACCCCTGTGTGTTTTTATTCTGACAGTGTGTTTTATACCTTTGGTCGCTGAAAATCCTCTATCCAAAGACACTATTTTTACTTCGTGGAAATCATGAATGTAGACATTTGACAGAATATTTCACCTTCAAACAAGAATGTGAGTACCTCTTATTGTTTGTTTTTTCATGTGTTTTTATTCTATTCTTCTTGTCTTGGCGGAGTCACGTGTAGCCTGGAGCAGTTCTGGAGGAGCGAGTTCAAGCTCCCGCCCTTTGGCTGTCGTGCATGATGTACAAAGAGCCGCAACTATCTATGAATAGCTGGAAATGTAGAGCTGAAATCGAAACATTTTCTGATGTGACACAAGTGCACAAGGTGCACAGCTGAGCTTTGATTGTTTTTTTTTTTTGTTTTGTTTTTTTGTTATTCAAGTTTTTTATTAAGTTTTCCAAATTTTTACATACAAACAAGCGTGGTGCAGTGCCTACACCACGCTCAGGACAATCCAGACTTTTCTCATGCATTGTTCCACAAATGTGGAATGACCTTCCAAGCACTACCAGAACTGCGGCTTCCTTTTCTATTTTCAAGAAACTCCTGAAGACCCTGCTCTTCAGAGAGCATCTTCTTAACTAGCACCTTGCCTGCACCTGTCCCTCCTCTCTACTGTCCACTCCTTGTTCCCTCCTCTCCATGACTGATGTCAATGTGTTGTTGTTACTATTGTTGTTGTTAGCCTCAAGGGCAAAATGCCGATTATCACTTGTAAGTCGCTTTGGACAAAAGTGTCTGCTAAATACATAAACATAAAAACAAAATACCCAAATACCCCCCCCCCCCCCACCCGCCCCCCATACAGCACTGGTTAACTCAAAACCACTCACAACCACCATTCATAATAATTTCAAAACATGCTATCCAACAACTTTTACATCTTTTTACCAATAAAAAACAAAAATTCATTCCAAGTTTCAAAATATGGGTCTTTTTTTCCCTTCATTTTAGCAATTAATAGTTCATAAGATGCAATCTCCGTCATCGTTATTATCCAGTCTCTGTAAACAGGTGCCTCAGAACTTTTCCATTTACGCAGTATAACTCTAGCTGCTGAAATAAAACCTGTAAGAGCTAGGGCCCCTGCCGTTGTAGATATATTCGGTATACCCGACAAGTCTCCTAGTAAACAAAGTAGAGCAGTTTCCGGGAGTGGTATACCCAACCACTCTTGCATTGTATTCAGTATTTTTTTCCAAAAAGGTTGAACAACATAGCATGACCACATAGAATGAATAAAAGTACCTTCCTGCCTTTTACATTTCCAGCTTTGATTGTTCAACCACAATCAACAAACTACTGACCCCGTTTTTCCTCACACAAAGGGAATTACGCACATTTTAATCAAAATGACATCATTATTCTGAATTACATCCAGAAGGGATGTTCTAAATTGTATATTTTTGTTTGTTATGTACATTAAATCAGCCATGCCTATGTGATCACATTTCCTTCTCTTGTCAGGTAAAATCAAGTACTCGGAGCAGGTGTATGACTCGTGTATGGATGCATTTGACTGCCTTCCCCTGGCAGCGCTCATGAACCAGCAGTTTCTGTGTGTCCATGGGGGACTTTCACCTGAAATACACACCTTAGATGACATTAAAAAGGTAACAGCACCCCTGCTTTAAGCCCTAACATGCGGACAGTGATTACTTCCCCGTCTTCCTTGTGTTCTTTCAGTTGGATCGATTCAAAGAGCCTCCGGCGTTCGGGCCCATGTGTGACCTGCTGTGGTCAGACCCTCTGGAAGACTTTGGCAACGAGAAAACCCAGGAATATTTCAGCCACAACACGGTGCGAGGCTGCTCCTACTTCTACAGGTGAGCTGTTGCTTCCAGCTCCAAAGGAACTTTCTGGTTTGCGGAGCGATAGCCTACCTTTATTTAAACTGTCAAATAACCACACGGTTGTTTTTAGATAGTGATGTCGTGCATCTTCAATATTTTACCTACATGCATTGCAGAAATAGTGATTTTTTACCAGCAGTAAAAGATGCATGAATGCAAGGTCGATAGTGTACATTATCAGTGATAAATAGATTTTATTCTGAGAACTTGACAGTTTTGCAACCTCTTTATATCTGAAATAGCTGTTAAAATCATAAATTATTAATAGATATCAAACACTTGATGCCTGAGCAACATTTAAATGAGGAAGTTGTCAATAAGAGGCGTGTTTAACGAAAAGATTTCACAATTCAGTGCTTGAAAGGGCAAAAGCCTCCTCAAATCCTACAGATAGCAAAAGTGTCTGTGAGGAGGAGCGTCCAGCTTTGTTACAGCAAGACAAATGAGAAGTAAACACTGTTCTGGAACGGTTGTGGGATGGATGAGAGCTGTGGAAGTAGGTGGTGGTGATGAGGAGAGATTAGGTGGCAGTTATAGTGAGAGTTTTCTTAATGAAGGCTCAGAACAGACCCCTGCGTGGGAGCTGCACTTCTGCTCAAATCAGGAACAACCAGTCAGGAGGACTTACTGTGTTCCTCCACAGAAGAGGGAATGGACTGGTGGACAGTGTGTGCAGGGTCATAAAAGATAGAGGTCATGTGAAAATGTGGTTTTCAGTGTGCTCGCAGAGACTCAGAAAATGTAGAAAATATTTTTAGATTCTGTTAAAATGTCTGTTTATCCTGTGCCTGTTTTATCTCTAACACCTGATGCTGTTCTTTAAAGGCAACATGCATGTGGTAATGATGATGTTAGCTCTTCTTATTCTGCTCTTTCTACCAACTCCGTCTTTCCCGGGATCCACTGTTCTCCCTCTTTCCTATTCATATTCTCTTTCCCTTTCCTTACATTTTGTAATCAGTTAATTTCCCGCATTTTAACCATATTTTTAACAATTTAGAAAAATATTTTTATACTAAATGTTTTGTTCTTGTGAAGCGCCTCGTGAATGAGAGGCACTGTAAAACAGATAGTTTTCTTTCTTTTCAGGATTCAAACTGAACTATTGTTTGATGTCAGTATACGACACAACAGACCAATAGGGCGTAAGCCTGCAACGGTCATGTCATGAGGCGGGCACTTACCCCCTCTGCCACCCTTGCCCAGGGAGCAGTAGACATGAACAGGCCTGGGCATGGCAGGTGTATGGTAAAGGTACTAAAACACCATCTGGTTGCTTAAAGACCAGAAGACATTTACTGAATCTGTGGCAAATAATCCACAAGGGGTTAAAACCACACGTCTGTTCATAATTAGACCAATGTTTTTATTTAAATGTTCCATGTCCTGCTATTTTAAACCTTTGAAAACAAAGGTTAGCGCAGTTCATGATGCCATTGGCACTACTGAGATTTTCTTAAATGTGAGTTATTTTCTACAGCCTGAATTTACACCCGGAAATAAAACGGTTAGTTTTAGTGAAACTCCTCCCAAGCCCGCTGCAACAAAATGTGGCTACAACAGTGTCTTAGGTGAGTCATTTGCTGTTTTGGCCATTGTAGTCTAGTGGTTAAGATGTCTGCCTGAGCACTCTAACCACTGGACTACCACGTCTGCTGCATGCTAGCAGTCACTTAAGCTACACACCGTAAGCTGGCCAGGTACACTTTCAGACCAGAGGCTAGCCCCCAGGAGTGGAGCAGGACCTGATGCCAAGACTAGTTTCCATTAAGGCTTTATAGGATTTTCAAAGTAAAACTCAAAATTTGCAATTGGAACAGGAAAAAGCGTGAATGCAGCCAAAAGTTGGTTTGGGTTTTCTTTTCATGATGAAATAAAAATATTACATGTTAAAAAGCTCCAAAAAGTGGATTTTTCATGATATGGCTCCTTTAAATTATAGCTTTGTAGGGCTGGGCGATACGGCCTAAAATCAATATCACAATATATTGAAAAGTTCACCTCGATAACGATAAATGAACGATAACTACAGGTATGCGCAGAAACAAAGGTGTCCACTAGATGGGGCTGTCACATGTATCACGTTGAGTCACATTTTTATGAGTCAGTGGTTTTGGAGCAGTGACAAGGCCCACAGGCCACCAGTTGATGTTCCTCCTTGAAGGCTGAAATCTTTTTTTTTTACTTCACAATTAATGATATGTGTGGCAAGGTGGAGAAACGAGGGCCCAGACACTCGGGTGAGAGTCACGCACGCTAATCAGTCAGCCAAAGGGACATCCCCTTGGTCAAGTAGCCAGGGCGCATGGTCAATCGGGACACTGTGGCAGGACGCTCACACTGCCACATCTTCCCCCCTCTTTCCACAAGCACGTCCTCATGCGCCTGCGCAGAGTGCCACAAACTTCACATCCATGGACCTACTTGACAGTACTACATAGATCCTGCCAACAACGCCACTTGTGACTGAGCGTAAGGCTTAGACACCCACAACCAGAGCCCTAGGTGGGTCTGGTCACAATAAGGAGCCAAGGCAGAGGTAGAGAAAAACAGGGCCTTTATTTATTTCTGTTCAGCCTTCTTAAAAACGGTTTGTAACCGAACATAGATAAAAAATTAACTCAACTGAGCAGCAATGGCAAGCTGAAAGGAAAGCAAAAACACATGAATTGATTGTAGCCAGGGCGCATGATCAATCGGGACACTGTGACAGGACGCTCACACTGTCACATCTGTAAGATCTTCACAAATAAAACAAAACTAATTATACAGACACGAGTTAGTGTCCAGGAGGAAGTTTCAGCTGCCTTGAAAATGAATATTTCACCAACCTGAGAAAAGTGAAGAGGGTAACTGGGTTTACCCCATGTGGGATCAACCAACCAACCAACCATTGTCTGAACCCACTTGTCCGTGTAGGGTCGCGGGGGGGCTGGTGCCTATCTCCAGCGGTCAATGGGCAATCAGGTGGGGTACACCCTGGACAGAGAGCCAGTCCATCTCAGGGCAACACAGAGACACACAGGACAAACAATCACACACTCACACCTAAGGACAATTTAGACAGACCAATCAACCTAACAGTCATGTTTTTGGACTGTGGGAGGGAGCCGGAGCACCCGGAGAGAATCCACGCATGCACAGGGAGAACGTGCAAACCATGCAGAAGGATCCCAGGCCGGAAAGCGAACCCAAGACCTTCTTGCTGCAAGGCTACAGCTCAAACCACTGCACCACTGCCCCCATGTGGGATCAATAAAGTTCTACTCTATTCTATTATATGATCATAAAAAATCAAAGTAATGAATTTATATTGAGAACAATACAGATGCTGGAGCCTGACAGGACCAACGACAGCCTCCTCCTCTACCTCTGTGGTCACTGATTGCTATTCAGTGTAAGAGGAGCTCAGTGAGGATTATTGTGTATGTGTGTGTGGAGGATGCTGCTATTATAGTCATCCATCTCCCCCTGGCTTTGTTCTGCCTTCACTCTCTAACTTAACTCTCCATCATTACCACTCCTGCCAACCATACAGTGTGCATGCAGCACAGAGAATCACATTATCTTGGGTACGGTGCAGTTATTTGGCTCAAAGCTCTTGAATTAAGCCTTATTCATAGCATTAGCTAACTCGTGCAACGATTTATATTTGCTACTTGCTGCCTTGCTGCAAATTCCTGTGGTTATAAGATGGCTGATCGATTAGGAATTGGCTTTTATTTCGGGGAAGATGTTTGTGATGACCACTAGCCTCACAGATGGATTGTCTTAGGTGGAATGGGGGAAAAAAACCTCTCAGTTTCACACTCACGATGCAGCACTTCCATCCCGCTCTGTCTCTTTCGCTCATACTCGTCAGATTCCTCACTCGTTCTCTCGCCAACACATTATTGTGCGTTTTCACAAAGCGGAGGGAAGGAAGGATCTGCAGGCAAGCACTCGGCGTGCACACCGGTTTCTGTTGCAGGGATCGATGCAGATACAGGCTGTTCAGGCCAACTCAGAGGAGAATCTCAGCGAATGTGAGGGTTTTAATAGGGATGTTGTCAAACTGATTTTAGGGTACATTATTTTACTGTAATGTTAGCCACTCATTTCAGTCCTGCAACTGGAAAAAATGATTTTAATGTAACTATGATTTTGATTGGAGTATACATTTGGCCTTGATAGGGAGCTAGCGATGTTGACCTAGATAAATGCAGAGGATGGCACGGTTTTGCCAGGTGCTCAGGGCGCAGCCGTCTTCCGGTTTTCCTTCCGACACAAGCCTTTGAGCACTTAAATATTTAAATGCTTCTTAAAGTTTGATAAGCTCAAGAGTGGCAGGAGGTACAGGAGGAGGCAATCGTTGCTATGGAGCCTTAACAGTATTATTTTGTGATGTTTATTAGTACACTGTAAAAAATAGCCATATAAAAAACAGTGATAAACCATAAAACCATTACAGGAAAAACCCATCAATACTAAAACTAACTGTTGATTTTACGTGAAGTTGCCGTAAATAAATTAACTGGTAAAAAAAATGATTTGTACTTGTTTTTTTCTTTACAACATACATAATCCTATAAAGCAGTCTTGCGTTGTTTTTTATGGAAAATTTCCTTAAAGCTCATAAAACTTTAAGGGAAAAACTGTTCATATTTTGCCAGTGTTTAACCGTAAAAGCTACTTTTTGTTTTGTTTTGTTTTGTTTTGTTTACAATGTAGAATGCTTTACTCATTACGGTTATTTGGCCATTTTGGAAACGACATTTTATCGAATAGAAAAAGCTTCCTGAACAGACTCAGTTCAGAAAAATGGTGGGTGCATCAAGCAGAGCTGATGAGCTAACGGCTAGTCTGAATCATCCACTTTCAAAGAACAACAAAGAAAGCATAAAGGTTCCCTCTAAACTCTTCACCATTGTTTCTTATCCAATATGTCCTGCTGTTGGTGCATTTTATGCTTTTGAATGATCACAGAGTCCCAC